GTTAAAATGAAACAAGGTTGAGTTGGAGTGCCAAAATAAAATTTAGGGACAAATTTAAGAGTCTGACCTTATAATTAATCCCAAAAAAACTTTGTCATCCAACTAACTACCCCCACTATAGAATGTAGAATTAGTTTGTGCTAGTAATCATGAAAATGAAAATAAAAATCATTTTCTTTTCTCAAGACAACTAATTTTCTATTTCTATTGTTTTTACAAAAAGAAATTAGGAAACGACAGCACTCCAAAAGGTGTAAAGTAATTTTAGGCATATATACCAACCTACATATTCCCCCTCGCGCCTTAGGCCTAATTACAACTCTACCCCGAGAATAATCTATTTTTCTCCTCACTGTTCTCAATATATCTCGTAATTTTATCAACCTACAAGGGCATTTTCAGCACCTCCTCCCTCTTCCACCACCTCGCCACCTTCTTTCTCCAAATTCTCCATTATCATACACATCAATACGTCGACGTTTTGATATCTGTACGATGCCGGAGATAGAAAGGCATAGAACAAGGCATAACCGACCGGCGATTCGAGAACCGGTGAAACCGAGAGTACCACTGAGACTATTGTTCCGAGTAGCTTCGGTTGCCGGTGGAATTCAATTCGGTTGGGCGTTACAACTATCACTGCTCACACCTTATGTGCAAGAGCTTGGAATACCGCATGCTTGGGCGAGCATAATATGGCTCTGTGGACCGCTTTCAGGTTTACTGGTTCAGCCTTTAGTAGGTCACATGAGTGACAAGTGCACAAGTCGGTTCGGTCGTCGGCGTCCGTTTATTGTCGCCGGAGCAGTATCGATCATGATTGCGGTGTTGATTATCGGTTTCTCCGCTGATATTGGATGGCTTTTAGGTGATCGAGGTGAAATAAAAGTGCGTGCTATAGCGGCGTTTGTCGTAGGGTTTTGGCTTCTCGATGTTGCTAATAATATGACTCAAGGACCTTGCAGAGCTCTGCTTGCTGATCTTACACGTAAGCTTTTCAATTCAATTTTACAGCTTGATGTTCATTTTTTTTTTCTCGATTTGTTTATTGCTTGTGAATTACTCTGCTTTCTGCTTCTTCTTTTTTACGCTGTTCAGTAGCTTAAATTGAATTAACCAATCAACTGTAATTTATCATTTGATGCATTTAATTGTTTAGTGCTTTCTAAGGAAGATGAAGCTTCAAACATCTTCGCCTATTTTCTAATGGAATATTTAGCTTTCTTCAACATAACTCCATAAGAAATGGAAATGCAATAGATGTGTTGTTCTACTTTTTTGACGGTAAAAAACGTATGAGGCGCACTAGTTCAGCTCAAGTAGACAAAAATATCCCTGCACCGATGGTGCGGTGGGACCCTCTCTGTATCCTAAATTCTCTCATTCTCTCTCTTCCTTTGTTTCTTTCCTTTAATTAATACTAATGGCCTGATGTACATCTATTGAGCTGAGCCATGACGATCATGGGACTTGGGAGAGTATCTTAGAGCAGGTTTGACGTTACTATTAAAAATTGTTTATTTTTAGAATGACTTTTTAAAAATAGTTTTTCATAAAAGTGTTTTTGAAAAATAATAATTTGTGTTTGGTTAATTTATTTTGAAAAATGTTTTTGATAAGTAAATTGTGTTTGAATAATCTTTTACTCCTTCTGTCCCAATTTATGTGACACTTTTCGTTTTTTGAAAGTCAAACAATTTAAGTTTGACCGGGAGTTTGCTCATGAAATTTATATATTTGTAAACTACGTAAAAAGTGTTATAAGTCACAATAATTAATAATTCAATGTTTAAAGGATCTATGAAAACTTACGGTCAAAGATAGATTCTTGAAATCCGAAAAGTGCCACATAAAATGGGACTGAGGGAGTAAAAAAAATAGTTTTGAGAATCAACTTACGAAAAATGACAACTATCAATGCACTTTTAATATTAAGATTATTTATAGAGAGAAATTATTTTAATTATCTATTATAAAAATTTTAATTAAATTTTATATTTTTATTAAATTAAAATATACATATTCAAATTTTTAATCAACTTTACACATAGATGAATAAAATAAATAAATATTGATAATATTAATATGATGATTTAAATATAATTAAAAATATCAAGCAAACTAAATTTAAAATTATTTCACAAATTAAATCTACCACAAAAATAAATAAATATGAGGAATAAATTGATAAATATGTATATATATGGTTTGGATATTTTGGTCTTGAAAAAAATAATTTTCCGCTTTTCATTCTGTTTTTTTTAAACAATTTTTTTTAGCTTTTTCCACACAATATGAAAACTTGTTCTGCTTCCATTCAAAAGCACTTTTATTGATTTGCCAAATACCTTATTTCAAAATAAGTGTTTTTGACCTCCCAACAACAATGTCAAATACTCTTAATTATACGTTAGTCTTCTGCATACCTATATGTTTGTATAACCAAATATTGATTTCGTTCCGATGAATTTTAGTGGTTTGACGTTTGATTTGTGAGATTATTGCATTCTGATGATTTTTAACCAGCTATAGAAGGTTAAATTAAACTACACTATGGAATTGGATGACAAATTATATGGACTAAGCTATATTACCTGCCAAGAGCGGATCTAGAAATTTTGCTGAGCAGGATCAAACAGTTCTGAGAAATTCTCTCTTCCTTGTAACCCTAATGATAAAAAATGGAATATTTATGTATTTTACACTTCTCCCCAGAGTACTTGACATATTTGTTATAGTGATCATTTTGACAAAATTTCATTGTTAAATTGGAATAGAGAACTTCGTGTTGGAAATTTAACATACACAGAAGCTAAAAAGAATACAAGTTGCAAATTTACCAATTCAAAATGACTAGATAATAACGAAGTTACCTGTTCAAAAAAAAAAATGACTAGATAATAATTTAAAAAGTTTAGTACACTATTTTTCATCCTTGATATGTGAAGTAGGATTGCGAGCTCCAGTCAAACACTGTATTTGAATTAGTGGTTTCTGTTGCCATAACCTTTACTTATGGTGCATGACTAAAGATAATTTAAAAAATTGTGTAACAATTTTTCAAGTTCTTAAAACTCATTCTTCATGAATCATTTGTACATGTCAATAAGGTTTTAGATAACTTTTCAGATTTGCACAAAATGGTGCAAAATTTGAAGCCACTCCTTAGAATATTTTGATAAATCATTGCATTGCTTAACAGGGGCAAAAGTCAAGTAAATAAAGGTTAAATTCCACTGTTTAGTTAATCATGCCTGGGAAGGTCACTGCGATTGTCCCCACTCAACATCAATTGATTTTTGCTTCCATCGCTGATACACAATTGCATTGACAAAAAATTAATGTCCATTCCACTGCTGAAAGTAGCAGAAACATTACGGTTGGAAAAGAGCACTGATGTCAATTGGGAATAAATCATTCCTATTAATTTACAATTGGTAGTTCAAACAATTAAAGGTGAAAAGATCATATACCAGTATTACTTATTATGATCACACTAACATAGATCAAGTAGCTCAGTGTATTTATTTGAGTTTCCCCTTTTTGCTTTAGTCCCTATCACTATTGGTTCGAACTAGTTAGCGCAGTGAGAGGAATGGCTCAATGGTGCCTAATGTTTGGCACTAACTATATCATAGTCCTTGACATTATCCACTTAACATGTCTAGCATGAACATGCCAAGGAGATATGGCTTTTTATTCCATCCTTTGACTTGATTATTAATTCTTGACAGAGTAAGAACAAACTCGTCATGTCTGGTCAATTTCCTATCAAAAGCCAAATGCCTGCTCTATAAAACGGTAGGTCCTGATCCCACAACATTTGCAATGGTGAGTTGAACAAGTAAGAACCATCTTTTTACTCTGTATCCATCTGTAAACTGTTTCTTTTGATAAGGTATTATCTAAGCAAGTACCCAGGAGGTACTGCAAAAAGGAAAAGAACAGAATTACGTAAGTCTTGAAAAGACAACAATCATTCATCTCAAAGAGTCTATTTAGTTTAGCACAACTGAAAGTTCATCAATTTTACTTCCGTTAAAGTAGATTAAATTCTCTATGTATTTATACTTAACAGCTGCAATCTGCTTCCTCTCTCCTTCAAAACACCTTCTGTTTCTTTCTAACCGGATACTCCGCATACTGCACAGAGGGGCTGTCCTCCATATTTTCTCATTTATGCTTCCAGTTTTCTGCACTTTCCATATTAATACAGAACTATTCAAATCTCGTGGTATGACCCAATGCACTTCAAACACACATAACAAATCTGTCTAAATCTGCCAAGAAAATTTACAGTAATCAACAAATGGTTTGTTGATACCACTTCCCTTTGACACAGAAAATACCTACTACACTGTGAAAATCCTCTTCTCTGTTACATTTCTTAAGTCAGCCAAGCACTTCTAGTTTCCACCCACCCAAAGCAAGCAATTTCAGATGGTGCTTTTGTCTTCCAAATCATCCATCTGTGAACTGTTTATATGAGAACAAACAAAAACTAGTTAAAGTCTTGGTATCACATATTTAGAAGCATTTGGGGGTTCTGGAATTTTACTTTTAGTTCAAGTGCTTGAGTGAATAATGGACTGCAAAGTGTTTTTGAGAGGGGAGAAAGATAACAAGGGGTAATGGGAGATGTGTGCTTGTGGTGGTGTTGATTTTGCGCAAACTTCATTCTTGGAGCATGATATATCATCATCACCTTCTTTTCTCTCTGAGATAAGATTTTGAGCTAATTGCCTAAGAAATGTTCATAATCTAGCTCTTACAGGAGCCTTTACCAGCAGCAGTGACCATATATTACCTCCATAAGAACTGCTAATGAAAAGAAACAAAATCAGAATTAGCTAGTTTTCTTTATCCCCTTGTGCAGGATAGCAGTAGCAAATAAGAAGCACTTGCTTGTTACTGAGAAGATTGTGGAGTCTTATATCTCAAAAAGAAATGATTATGGAGTCTAATGATTAGGTCTACTTTGTCTACATACAGTCATACACTGTGTGCTCCTTGTTCCTTTTTAGTCTTAAGTCTTAATTTAGTTGTTAATAATATTATATACCCTATCTAAGGAGCTAGTAAGACCTCCTAAATTTGCATAATATCCTCACTTTGTTGAAGCTAACTTACGTATCCAAAATTCAAAAGAAAATCTCATTTTGTCGATTTTGACCTCTAGTTTCAACCATTTAGGAGAAAGTAATACTGAAGCATAAGACATTAATCTTATTTTATGGATTTTGACCCCTAGTTTCAACTATTTTGGAGAAAATAACACTTAAGCATAAGAAAAGACATAATGGTGAAAATGGAGGCTACGGTCTGTCAATGCTCATGGGGTTTGAAGTAGAGGACCTCCATGGGATGATGAATGGAGGGATGGTGCTATTCCAGAGATGATACAGCCACCAAAAGAAAAGGCTTGGTAGAGCTTAATTTTTCAGGGCGAGATATATCAATTTTACATTTTTGTACGACTTCATTGTCATTTATTTGTGCATATTTATATCATGAAGTTGCCTTCAAACTAGTGACACTTCCTCTGCTTTCTAATATGCAGAAAAGGATCATAGAAGAACTCGGGTAGCAAATGCATATTTTTCCTTATTTATGGCCATTGGTAACATCCTTGGCTTTGCTACTGGATCTTACAGTGGCTGGTTCAAGATCTTCCCTTTTACTCTCAATACTGCATGCACCATCAACTGTGCCAATCTAAAGGCTGCTTTTATTATCGACATTATTTTTATTGCAACAACTACATGCATTAGCATATCAGCGGCCAATGAGCAGCCTCTAGATCCCAGTCGTGGTTCCTCTCATACCAGAGAAGAGATTGGCGAATCAAGCCATGGTCAAGAAGAAGCTTTTCTCTGGGAGTTGTTTGGAATTTTCAAGTTTTTCCCAGGTGTTGTTTGGGTGATCCTGCTTGTCACTGCCCTGACATGGATTGGATGGTTTCCGTTTCTTTTGTTCGATACTGACTGGTTTGGTCGAGAAATTTATGGCGGTGAACCAAATGATGGAAAGAATTATAGTGCAGGAGTGCGAATGGGTTCATTGGGTCTAATGTTGAATTCTGTGCTTCTTGGACTAACTTCATTGTTCATGGAGAAGCTCTGTCGAAAATGGGGGGCTGGTTTCACATGGGGAGTTTCAAACGTGGTCATGTCTCTCTGTTTTATAGCCATGCTTATAATTACTGCTGTTAGGAGTAACATAGACATTGGCCAGGGTCTTCCACCGGATGGCATTGTGATTGCTGCGCTGGTTGTATTTTCTATTCTTGGGATCCCACTAGCTGTAAGTTGCTTTATTTTGAAGTCACAACCAGAAGTTATTTTGCACTATTACACAGGCTTATGTGTAGAACTAGTTAAATTAAAACACCTCTAAACCACTTATATTCTTTATCTTCGAAATTTTTTAACAGCAGGGGTATATGTACAGCTGAATTGTGGTTTACAGAGTTTGTTATTGTTGAAATGTAATATAGAAATTCGGTCTGTATGAAATAATCTTTTCATGTAAGATGCCTGGCAAATGTAGCACGATACAGAAAGAAATTTGAGGTTACTGTTTCAAAAGGATTCAGTTTAAGCACAAGTTCCATGGGGGCTTAGAAGAGAGCTTTATTTATGTATATTACTGTATAATGCAAGTCATTTTCTGCAGATAACATACAGTGTTCCATATGCTTTAGTATCCTCAAGGATTGATGCTCTTGGGCTTGGACAAGGTAGATTGAGTTTTGTCTATTTTGATCAATATTCTGTAGGTCAAATAGAAAATAGAGCATCAATTACAACTTCAACCTTGCAGGCTTGTCAATGGGTGTGCTGAACCTGGCAATTGTGTTCCCACAGGTATAAATTTTGCTCTGTTTCTATGGGTTTTCTCCAAAACAAGAACAGTCTGTAGAAAGTGGTCCAAAAAAAATAAAATCAAAGCCTTTATGTAGATGGATGTGCCACAGGTGCATTGTGTTGCCTCTTGCTAGTTTGCTCTTGTAGCTGTTATCTGTTGAGCCCTTGGTTAGAGTAAAAAAAAATGAGGCAAGGAGTGAACCGTTGTAAATGATGGAATCTAGAGTATCTTTCAAGTGAATACAGAACATTATTATTCTCATGGGTGTTTCCACTAGGAATTTTTGCTGCACCTTTATAGCATGTATCTTATCATTTCCTGAAGTTATATAGGCCACTGAATGAAAAGATATTGTCATTGGTTGCAGATTGTGGTTTCTCTGGGAAGTGGGCCATGGGATGAGTTATTTGGTGGAGGCAATTCACCAGCCTTTGTTGTGGCTGCGCTTTCAGCATTTGCTGGTGGACTTATAGCCATCTTGGCGATTCCTCGAACACGGGTTGAGAAACCCAAGATCTTTGCATGAGGTAAGCTGCTAATGTCTCTGTTTGAACTCCTTTCTATTCTACTTGTCCACCATATTTAAATTATCTATCTCTAGTTTTCTGAAGAGCAGGCTGTTGAGCCAACTTTTCCCGTTTAAGGACCTTTAATAGGGCTCAAATTCATAGTCGCTTGACCCATTTCGTTTCCCAAAAAAAATAGATAGAATAGTTATGCAAAAAGTGATGACCTAATTTAGTGGTGGAATCAGGATTTTCACTAAGAGTATTCAAAATATAAAAAGTGAACACACGAAGAAGCTAAGGGGATTCAATATTTACTATATTATATATATAAAATTATTTGACCTTGTATATACTGTATATTTATTGGCGCTAGCCTAACTCCACCCTCGCCCTCAGTCTTGTGTATCATCTCTACATTCATTGTCTTGAACTCAGACGTCTTCTTTTATTCCAACGTTTTAGTAACATATCTCTGGAAGCGTAGCAAATGAACAGAGTGGAGGCAATTCACTCCTAATTTGTTCTTATGGGCACTTAGCATTGCGTTCTAAGAATCTGTTAGTATATCAGTAATCCTAGTAATTATACTTTAGGTTAGTAGAAGTTACTGAAAAAATGAGGAAGCCTTTATCCCTCTTATTATTTACGTTCTCCTATTTGAATACATCTGCAAAACTATTTAATCTCCAGAGCTTGAGGACATGCAACAAAAGAAATATTGAAAAACACGTTCAAGAGAACATTTTGCTTTAACAGACACATAAACTGCATAACTGGTGTCAATAATTTCTTCCTAATTGTGAAATAGACCAAATAATTTCTCATTAACTTGATTAAGTAACAACAATGTATATATTAGAGGTCGTCCTTTATATAGTAGTTCTAGACTATGTACAATATGGAAAGTATTCAAACCTCTATACTACTAACATAATTAAATCTATAAGATTTTTCTTATTTAAGTACGACTAACCTGGATATGTATGCTTTTAAATACACATTTTCTTTATATTCCAACACTAATCTAACACATAACTACAACAGTTTAGGAATATCCATAGATTCTTAACAAGATATTGACTGATTAAAATATTTGTAGATAACACACCCCTAAGTTAAGATGTACAAATTGTGTACTCTTTTTACAAAAATAATCAATCTTCTCCTAGCGACAACAAAAACAATTTCTTCATATTTGTTCATGTCTCAGTGGACAGATAATTTATCTGGTACTTGTGCTAGTGGGAGGTAGCAGATATCTCGTAGAATTAATTAAGGTACGCGAAAACTGGCTCAAACACCATGGTTGTAAAAAAAATTGATATTGAATCCTCAAATATATTTTGTTAGAATATCAACTAACTAGTCACTTAAATTAAGCAAAACTAGTCAAAACACATATTTTTATTGATAACCGAGACAATTCCTGAAGGCTAATGATGCACGGTTCGAAACTCGGTGGATAGTGGGCTTGCCCCTCTACCCTAGTCGCAATACATTCTGATTCCATCTTTTATCTTATAAAAGGACAATCTTTTTAGTATGTTCATTCTTGGTTACATGAATTTTTAAGCTACATGCAGCACCACTTGATTTTCAAATAAGTTGCAATTTTTAATTTCTACAATATATGAACTCTAATAGAACTAGCTTTAACCATATAAGCCCACATATGACTAAATGCATGGTTTGATACTGTCTTCTGCATTTAATCTGGCCACCACATCTTATTGTTCTAGTGTTTCAAAATATTATATTACCAGTTAAAAATAAAAGGCAATGCTTTGAGGCAGACGCTCTGGTGGAAGGAGATCATATCCAGTTTCAATCAAAATTCAAAATAACCCATAATCTGTGTGGGATGCAACTGAGATGTCTGATCCTATCATTGTTAGATAATTGAGCATATCATTAAACGTCGATATTGACCTTGAACCTTTTAGAGTCTCCTGTTTAAAACCAGCCTTAACATTTAGGTTCAAATTGACTATCAAAATATACATCATATTTATTAGTGATGATTTCTAATATCTTTTAATGTCTAGTTATACTCTCTAGAAGCTATATCTATTCAACTATTACTACTACCTCAATCCTAAAATAGTTAAGGTCAATGTATCAATCCGCCTTCTCAATTCTAGTTGGGCTCCTTCCATTTGACTAATTTGTTTTTTCAGGACAACTTAGGAGTTCTCCAAAACTTAGGTTTCTCTAAATGTTACACTTTGCCTACCAAATTTAACAAATAGTTAAGGTTAATGTATCAATCCTCCTCCTCAGTTCTAGTTGGGCCCCTTCCATTTGACTAAATAATTTATTTTTCAGGACAAATTTGGAGTTCTCCAAAACTTAAGTTTCTCTAAATGTTACACCTAGCCTACACAGTCATATAACCTCTAACCAAACTTATCAAACACTGGACGAAATGTAAGTGTCCATATGACTTAACCTTAATAAGTGTAACTAGTTGGTATCACTTACACAAGTGTTTTGCTTCCATTAGGGTAAAAGGTAGTAGGTAGTAGAGCATCGACTAGTTTCCCTTACCAATATTGTTATTATTACTCCCATATTATCTTATTCTTCAATTCTATTATCACATGTTGTTTCCTTTGTTTCGGTCATCGTATTTTTGTTGTTGCTACTGTTCTCTTCTCCATTATGCTAGCATGACTGCTTTACTACTGTATTTCCTTACGATACTTGATTTTATTATGTGTTGCTCGAGCCGAAGTTCTATTGTAAACCACCTCTCTACTTTCACAAGGTAGGGATAAGGCTGCAAACATACCACCCTCCCCATACCCCATTTGTGGGATACTGGGATTACGCTGGCATGTTGTTGTGATTGTTGGTAGATGTAGATGTCACGAATTGTTTCAGGAATCAAGCTTTAGATTATGGTCAAAGCATATTATTCCTGTTATTGTTTATTTTTCCTAGATGCATTCAAGGTGTGGTCTAGATGTCAATGAAGTTTAAAACACCATTGAAAACTAAAGAGTGCACTATAATTATTTAATCTCATGTTTAGAATCCTTTTCCAACCAAGTCATTGAAGAAATGCATTGATCATTTTTGCATAAAAATGATATTTTTTCCTCATTTACATGTAATGCACATGCTTACAAAGTTGCGACCTTTAAGAGGCTTTTAATCATTGAAAAGAATTTATAAAGTTAGAGAGTATTGATTAAGCTCTTTCTAAAATCTGCTATTTCTAGCCATGTTATTGAAGAAATACCTTGGAGTGTTTTTGCATAAAAATGACAATTTTTTCCCCATATGCATTCTTACAAATTTGTGATTGTAAAAGACTTATCATCTGCTTATTGACTCTTGTGGTCACTCTATAGGGATTTCCTGAGTCTATTTTAACTATTGGACTATTGTTTACTTTTTCTTGAGCTGCTGGGTCATAATATTTTTGTTCTCTGGGTAGGCTATTTTGTCATATTGGAAGATGAGATTGATGGTGGTGGTAATTGTCCACATTGGCCCTGGCAGCCACTTGATATTTCTGTTGTGGCCGTTTTGAGTATTGCTCAATCTGAATGCTGAAGAATTCGCAGAGGTATACTGTTGTATTCTATTTTTTTTGAATTTTATGATCAACCCGCAATTTGCATTACGTTTTTGTAAATATAGCTCTTCCACTCACTTGGTACTGATTCTAGCATTCAAGATTGCTTTTCGTGTTCATCATTTATTTACTTAGTTACTCAAATTTAGCCACTGAACAATTTTCTGTTTGGTGTTTCTCCACTTTCTAGATAAAGCAAATCTCAAATATCAGTACAAACTGTACAAGAAGTGTTCAGTATATAAAGCACATATTCTTTGTGCATTTAATCTATCTCCGAGTATAGTTTTACTCTGTAAATAGTACTCTTTTTCAGCTGCAAAGGCATTTATCACATCCATATTGCAGAAGGCTGTATATAGTACTCTGTAATTGTGCTCTGTTAGACAAGGCTATAATAAAAGTCATCTCATCATTGCTGCCAGCCATTTATAGATTGTTAGCTTTGACATGCAACAAAAACTATAATCAACCTAGTATAGTAATAATGAATATATTCTGGAGTTATAATCTCGAGCATACATAAAGGCACCCTAAACTTGTGATTCCATGGACTGATTTTTTTTCTGCCCAAACCATCACCCACAGGGAGTTAGAACCAATTTGTGATATATAAAATAACCTGGCTTTTAGATGCCCGTTATCTATGAAGATGGAGGATACATACATGAAAACCAATCTGGAACATTATCAGGGCCATCTTTTTCTGTAGCTCAAAACCACATCTCTTGCACCAACTATATTTCCTATGTACGTCAAAAGTGGTGTAGTTGAACTCAAAATCATTAACTCATAAGATCACGGAGAAAACTATTTCTCAGCACCCAGACTCATGCTCAAGATTGTCAGGATGTACAGAATGTTCCCTGCACGAGCAAATGACCGAATAGGCAATTTGATAGCATACATATAAAACCCTCGAGTCCAACTTATGTGCAATTAGATCCTTACTGAAACCTTTACATTTGAGCTGCCGATAGCATGTAGTGCAAAAAGATAATTCACTAAACTGTGATGAGAACAAGTTTCGTGTCAGATGTTCCATCTTATTCTGCTGTAAACACAGCACGACATAAGTTTGCGTCTCTTTAATGTCTGATATGCTATTTGGGATCAAAGTTGTGCTTTTGTCAACCATTCATGGTCATGGAGTCTGTGCCCATAGCTAATAATGCTGAAAAGAAGTGAAGTTGCAGCTTGGGATCCTTATTAGTCATCAGGCTTTATTCTTTTACCAAAAATATCATGTTTTTCGCAAGCTTACTTGCTTTGGTGATATATCAAGGTGCCCTGGAATCTCATGCAGTTTGCACATGACTTTGGTGAATTCATTTTATAAAATTTTGGTTGGAGGCTAACAGTTCCGGCAGACTGAGCCCTTGATTAAGACTTAATTAATCTTTCACTATGAAATTTGTGTGTATTGGAAGCTTGTCTGATAAGAAAAGGTTCCCTTTTCTAATATTCTCTCTTTTCTTGTAGCTTTCTTGTGTGCTTGGGAATAAATTCCTACTGTTATTGCATATCAGAATCTATAAAAGTTCTTCCTTCCATGTAATGCTTACATTTAATAAAGGTGATTGGTACTATTCATTCAAACAACATTGGAATTTTAGTTGTACAATGGCAAAATGCAATGCATTAGTAGACCTGAAGATATCTAGAATAACATCATTGTCTGCTTAATGTGAAAGATTATGAAGTTTAATCGCACATTCATTGATATTTCCTTTTCGCATCGAAAGACCGACCTGTAGATTGTGGTTACAATGTGTGACTTTGGGGGTGAGATAAAGACTAGAACCAGAAGATACTGGAAATGAAATTTTTTTAGCTACCATTCTTTTTCTGTTTTTTTTTTGGAGAAAAAGTGGAGAATTAGAATCAGTGAATTTGTTCTGTAGTGTACAGAGCTATCATCCTTGAGAAAATGTTGAAACATATTTAAGGTGTGACATCTCTGGTGGAAGAGGACATGACAATCGCTAAAAAAAATTCTTTTGCTGTTCTAAAAGGCGATTTCGATGTACTAAACTTGGCATATATTACATGCTTAAAAGTTAATTTGGTGGAAAAATGATGTAGAAGGAGAATAAAAACTTGGTGCAGAGTAATTGGAAAAGCCGTACTTGTGAATCAGATCCAATTTTAGATGCTAACACTCTGTCAATTTTGGTTCATTACGATCTGATGGCATCAGCTCCATATGCATATTGCTGTAATTGTGGATCCCCACCTCCCATCTGGGATATTGAGCAAAAAATCACTACCATATTACTATTTTATTTTTAAGTAGAAGAGCGGTGGAAATACATTTTTTAAACACAAGTACTGTTATTTTAGTAGTGTACTTGCATTTTTTTTGGGTTGTTGTTCAAGTACTGAAGAGTGAAAGAATATTTTCTTTGAATTGACAAGCATTATTCAATTGTCCCAAGTTATGTTACGTTTCATTTGTTTCACGTAGCCATGTTGGTGGATAAGATCGTATACTTTATTCAATTTATATACACTGATAATGTAACAAATCCTTGCTACGAGCAAGGCTTTAAGCTGACTACTAGCCCCTTGTATCTGTCTTTGTGACCAGTAATGAAAGCAAGCTTACACGAGCGTATGGTCCGCCACTAATTTTAATAAGGGGTTCAAAATCTGAGAAGTAAACACATGAACTAGTGGAAGGAGGTTCGACATCTATTATACATACCTTATATAAATAGTAATATTTTTCGTCCGAACCCCTCATTATATGCTGCCTCCGCCCCTGTGTCTGACACATTGATAAGTTTTTTTTTATTTTTTGGAGGAAATAAAAGGATTTTGTGATTGAAAAATTAGTGGGGGAGGAAGAAAGGTGCAGGCAGGTAACTCTGGGTGCTGGTTAAAGTTGTTCTGTTTCTGTTTCTGTTTGTGTTGCTTTGCAGAAATACGGAGAGACGCACAAGCAAGGCAATAAGGCCCCCCACTTGGAGACACATTGATCCCTGTTGTGAAAATTGGATACAATAAAATTTTAAATGGCTGTAAATGCAGCACGTACTTTTTTGTATTTTTATTTTACAAGATTTTGTTTCAGTGTCCCCTTTTCTTCCATCTGCCTCTTCTTCATATGGCCATCTACTGCATACTGTTCTCTTCTGTCACACACCAATTAACCCTTAGTGGTCCCTTTTTTTTTCCCTTTCGAATTTTTTGCAATTTTGCATGATGCTGCTTTCTTATATACGACCACCTTCCCACTCATCCAACAATTCCACATTTTTTTCCCCCTGTTTCTACTTCCCACAAACTGTGAGTATTCAGGATAACTTATTTAACTCCCAAGATCAAATATTATGTAAGAGAAAAGATCCCTTCGATTTGACACTTTTGGCCACTTTAAAAATAAAATAAAGTAAAAATTAACCCCACCATTTTGTTGCTTCTTCTGTTCCTATCCGAATTCCCTAAAGAGAGGTTGTTCGGATGCTAAGTTCTTTCTGACTCCTATCCCAAGGTAAGCAACTAGGGAGGAGTAAAAGAAAAGAAAGAAGTTTGTTGACACGTACATTCTCATTCGCAAGATTACATATATCTTTCAAAATGCTGGCAAATTTAACCATTTCCTTAGGTTTAAACATGTACAATCTCATCTTGGATTGAGACAATTCGATTGATCTCATCCACTTGATAATTTCTATAGAAGTTGTATCCTTTGAAGAAGAAAATATGTTTGTTGTTGGCTGTGCAACCATTCACATTACCAAAATTGAATGAAATAAAATAGAAATGAATAAGTTCCCTTTTTAGTACTTATAAAAAGAAAAAATACCCATACCAAATGGCCCACACCGACCATAACATTAGTGATTAGATATCTATATTAAAATTAAAAATCATATGATAAATGTCGTATAAGGAATCGTTCAGTTTTTTTTCTTTTTCTCTTCCCACTACTTGAAGAGAAGGAAAATTCCGGCCACAACTTTTCCAGCTGCTTCTTCAAAAACAACACAACGTGTTGTCTTCACAAACGCATTATTATTATTATTATTATTATTATTATTTTTACAGTGCTGTTTGATATTATATTATAATGTGATAGTGTGTTGTTTTTGATATTATAAATAATAAAGTGGAAAAAATAGTACATAAATTATATGTAAAGGCCAAAAAAAAGATGGGACCTTGAAAACAGAATTTTAGAAAAAACAGATGTGCACTCACAAAAAAGTTGCAAGTAGCCAAAGACTTAAACGGTGTTTGAGGGGTTACAGACAACATAAGTCATGCTCGATACTCTGGTGCATCACATGGGCTGCGAGGGGAATGTAACATGCATGCAATTCTTTTGCCTTACAACATGCCAACATTTCCTTAGCCACACTTCCCGACAGATCCATGATTTTAAGTTTATGAGTTCTTATAACGACGTCACAATCAAATATTTTTGGTGAATTTCATAGTACAAATACTATGAGTTCATGTGATCTAGACCCCCATGCCTCAAAGAAAAAAGGACATTTGGTATCTAAAATTCAAAACTCATTGATTCGTTTTAAAAGGGAAAGCACTCCTTACTAAGAGTATCTGATCGATTTTGTATGAACATTTGTAGGCATCAAGAATAAGAAACTTATATGTGTTTTGTCATATCAAAACTACTAGCTAAAACTTTGAACAAATATTGATATTACTTGTCAATCCATTCCTTCACTTGGAAAATCACATAGATAATCTTTTTATTCCCTTTGTTTCTCCTTTTCCCCCCTCTTTTGATGGGTGAGGATGAAAAGAGTTTTTTTTTTTGTGTGTGTGGGGGGAATTAAACGGGTGCGATTGGATAGGCGGTTAATTAAGTGTAGAATTGATTGAAACCTAACAAGAGGGATGTAATAAAAACTTATCCAAGACTTGATAAATTATAATAATGTGTTGATCATTTAACTATAGGGTATAATCCTCCAACATTAATATATAAATTGCCAATAGGGCATTGACACTTGAACAAAACTCATAAAACCATGCAGGTTTCTTCAAGTGCAGCCGTTTGGACGGTAAAACACTAATATGCCCATTAACAAATTATTCTATAATGCATCTTTTATTCATGGACCAACATCACCCTCTTTCTTAGGAATACTTATTACTATTTACTTTCTACTATAGCTTATATTACTACTAAGACAAGATGGAAAAAGCTCCAATTCATAGCCTTTTGAAATGGACAAGGCCCTACCTTTTCATTAGGCAGAATTCACACGTCCATTCCATCTCATTTAAGTAAGAAAAAGAATCAAAGATAGAATTTTATTTTTATTGTAAGAAAAGAAAGTAGAATGACAAGATAGATAGGCCCGGCCCCCACTAAGCGTCAAAATCAGAATTTAAAGTTTATGATCATAGTTACTGAATTCACAATCAAATATTTGTACTATTTTATTGATTTTCTAATACAAATATATTATCTAAGAAAAAAAATATTAGATTCGTTTGAATTCGTACTTAATATTATAACTCCGCCTCGGCCCCCACCCCACTCCAATCTCTCTTCTCACCAAGAGCCGCATTTTATTGGCAAAATAGAGCATCCTAGCTCATATAAGGACACGTCTATTGTAGGGTCTAATTCTTGCATGTATATATATACTACACATCTTGGTTGCACCCTTACTTGCATTCAAAGCTCTAAAACAACAAAAACATATATACCTCATTAAAAAGGTTTCTCTCTCTAATATATTTATTTATTTATTTATTTCTCTTTTCCCTTTTTTCTCCTTGTGTTGCCCACAAAACCATAATATTTATTATCTCTACTAGTCTACTATTGCATCTTCAAGCCTACCAATCTCTTCACACAAAGCAAGAAAGAAACTAGGATAGAAATATAGATAGAGAAAACTATGTGCAACCCAAAGCCTTCTTCTCCATCCTCCTTTGTCTCCAATGAAAAAGTCCATTTTGTGAACTCAAACAAACCAATTGATGTTCAAGTTGATGAAGAAGAACAACTTCGTAAATGGCCAACCCCATCTGAGGTAAATATATACATATAAAAAAAAAAAACTTTTCCCCCTATACCCCAACTGAGCTACATTAGCTCAAGGGTTCAGTTCGCTGAAAAATTACAATATATATATATATATATATATATATATAAGTTCAAGAACACAACTTTTCTATATAAATTTCTTTAACCCCTACAACTCTAAGGAACCTTTTTGTTTAGTGGTAAAGCAAGTTCAAGAATTTTTTTAAATTGCAAGTTCAAGTACTTCTTAACTCACAATATACTAGTATTTTTTGAGTTCTTTTGCTAAAATTCTTTCCTTCCACCTCAACCAACCACCATACATACATATATATATATATATATACAAATATGTATATATATGCATGTAAAGTTTCTTTCTTTTTTTATGTTACCGTCTCACATTGGTTAGGAAATGGATTGATAGTCTGCGTGTCATATCTTTACACTTCCCTATAACAC